CATCTCCAGTTGCCTTGATCTATCCACTATCCTTCTCCTCATCCTCTCCTCAATCATTCCTATCTGCTCTCACTCCAAATCCTCTGTAAACCCTTGTGTGCTAGTGGCTTCCCGCTTTGCTAGGGGTGAAATGCTTAAAAAAAAATTGAATTATTTATTTGAATTGGCTAAACCCAGATCTCATGGTTCTGATAGCACACCTGTTAATTTTTTTAAAACTGTTGCTCGTACTATTCACTAAAGGGGCACGTTTATTAAAATCATGCATAAATATTCCCAAGAGAAGGATAGCTATATAAAAAGAACGAATCTTCAAGTTTTATGAAGCGTATCCCTTCAGGATTTTGTCAGTCGTGGCAATTCACACTTTCCTGTACATTGTAGCTCTTAATAAATTTTGTATTTTTTGCCAAACTTTCCTCTGATCCTGGGTGTGACGATAAACTACATCCGGCAATGAAGATCGGGAGATTGGATGATTTTGAGGAGCGTTAAAACCGCCTCTTAACTGCTGTTGTTTCCAGGTCCACCCAGACCCGGGGTGGTACCATGAGTTAATGCCCCAGCTATCGGTAAATAGTGTACTCCCAATCAAAATCAACAGTGCATTTTTATAATATAATAATTAACAAATTACAATCAATGCAACACTAAAAAAAAAAAAAAAAAAACAACAGAAAAACACATTTTATAGTATAATCACAAGCAATACAGGTGATTGGAATGTCGAACTGAACCCTTTATTTCGCCGAAACGTTGTGATAAATATGGCAACAAAGATGAGGAAAATAGTCCGAATAATGTAAATAGTGTACATAATACCTCATCTCAGAAATATAGACAGAAAGATGAGGACAATAGTCCGAATAAAGTAAATAGTGTACATAATAACTCATCTCAGAAATATAGACAGAAAGATGAGGACAATAGTCCGAATAATGTAAATAGTGCACATAATACCTCATCTCAGAAATATAGACAGAAAGATGAGGACAATAGTCCGAATAATGTAAATAGTGTACATAATATCTCATCTGAGAAATGTAGACAAAAAGATGAGGACAATAATGTATATAGTGTACATAGTACCTCAACTCAGAAATATAGACGCTAACTATGTTCACTTTATAGAAAATTCAGAGGGAATGACGCAGTGCGGGGATGTCTCGATAAGCTGAATTCTGTGTTGTTGGTTTTCATTAGTCGGATATATATCACGTGTTCATTCGTGTCCATTTGTATGAATGTGTGTATGTGCTGGAGAATAAAAAAAAAACAATACAATTTAAATGATTTTAAGTTCTTGCGCATAATGTTCCATAAGATTTTGGTTTAATATTGTGAATATACAATAAAATAACCAACGGAAATAAAACAAAATAATCAGGAGCGTAGTATTATATCCTTACTAAGAATATTTTTTGTTTTAATAACCGTCTGATTTTTCATGATTTACTGAAAAACGCAGATTACAAATTATCTCAAGAAGAAAATATATACAGTATAGTTCCACATACAAGGCGACCTATATCTAAGACGAGACTCGAACGTAATTTTATCTGTTATCCGCAGTATAAGACGAACGACTAGAATCTAAATAACGAAATTATAAATGACAAATAGCTCTGTGTTGCGGGCCATGTGTGTGCTTGTTGTGAAATGAAATACGTGTGTACTCCCAAAACAAATATGGCAGACTCGGAGAATATGTCTACCCAAAGAAATGTAAAAGAAAACAACAAGGACTGATATATATGTACAAACAAATACGTGTATTAAACAACAAAATAATTTACAATAGACAAAGACATTAACGTGTGTGTGTGTGTGGAAATTTCGTGTTCCAAGGAATGTACGTACGTTAGTGTGTGTTTAATGTTCATAGCGTCTCCCACAAAGAGGGAACGCTTATCTTCTGCGAGAGCTTACATCGTCGTAGTTCGCTGAAAATGAGAGAGAGAACGAGGTCAGGGCCTCGTCAAGTATATATATAGTAATTTGATAACTCCCCCAAATGATGGTGGCAGAATTTATGAGGAGATATCTTCTACAGATGCTGATGATCGTAGAAATTTTGAAGGATTTTTAATTATGTATGTGGGTGTCATATTTTTTAGTCTGTGATGATAAATAAAGATTTTATGGTATCTAAAATGTTTTTTTTTTTTTAGCTTAGCAGCGCAAAAATACCGAAAAGTTTATTGAAAAATAAAATACGTATGTTATACTAAATGTTGTTATTTAACGAATATAATAATAATAATAATAATAATAATAATGAATATTAATTAGAAATATAGATATTATGTTATCTTAAATGTTGTTATTTAACACTACTATGAGATATAATGATTGGTGCGAACGGAGACATGGCTCAACAAATTACTTGTTAATTGTACGTGATGCACAGCGGTACTTCTGCAAATTATTTTGTAATCGTCTCTTGAATATTGCATTTTAATATAAAATCAAGAAGTAAAAGTAGTTATATTACATTTTGTTACATAGGAATAAAGTGTCGCTGCCGACACTTGAGTTTGAACATAGAACGCCAGTGAGCAAACACAGGCGATCCCATTATTGAATTAACTAGACCACGTGACCATAGAGGGAGCGCGTATATGGGAGGTAGCGTGTGTCAAAATGATCTCCATTTCTAATCTATCCTCTATTACTATTCGGACCGCTATTCTCTACTCTATTCACTATACTATTTCTCTATTCGGATCGCTATACGATTTACTATTCGAGCGAGTGTTATCGAGCAAGTACTATTAGAGCGAGTGATATTCGAAGGCGTCTGACACCAGTATTGTTCAAAAACGTTGCTATAGTTGTATCTGCGATTACAAAGTCTCTACTACAACGAGTAAGAAAAATGTCACAACAAGTAGTTTTGGCATTACAAAAATGGCAAAGGTTCTTTGACATCACTAAACTAACAAAAATATTTTCTAGCTTTAAATAACCAGCAAATGGTTGATAATTCTTTAAAAAATGAATCAATCAAAACACTGCACTTTAATTGCCCGACTGCGCATGACACAACACCACTATACATGCCTGCAAAACAGTTCCTCTTTCTCATTTACTTGGCCTTCTATCTAATCTATACTATTCGGATCTGCATTTCTAGTCTGTACTATTTCTCAACTCTATTCACTATACTATGTCTCCATTCGGATCACTATACGGATTACTATTCGAGCGAGTATTATCAAGTAAGTACTATTATTGCGAATGTTATTCAAAGGCGTCTGACACTAGTAACGTTCAAAGGCGTTACTATAGTTGTAATCTGCGATTACAAAGTCTCTACTACAATGAGAATTACAAAAGTAACAACGAGTATTCGTTGGCATTACAAAAGTGACTGCGAGTGTTCGTTGATATCACAAAACATTTATAACTCTAGTACAGCATTATAGTATGAATTGTTTCAACTAGTAATATTTACATCAGTAATTACCATTCCGAGATTCATAGCGCAAACATACTAGCTTTTTCTAACTGTTGTATTAGACGACCTCCTATATTTTATAGTAATTTCTAAGGTTTGAACATATTTCAACTGGACGAAAGAGAAAAGCGTGATGTCTTTTTGTCTGTCTTTAACTTAAAAAGGAAAATGAAGAAAATTAAAATTAAAATACTTATCCTATAACCAACTTGTAAATCGTTATACGCCGGACGGACGGACGCACCACGCAAGCACAGATTTTTTAGTGTTATATAGATAGATGTAGGAATGAAGTGTTGCCAGCTTATTACTTTCGAGCAACAGTAGACTAGTCCCCATTATATCCGAGTAAGACAATGTATTATTATTAATTCACCACCGTGAGATTTTCTGACCAACGAAATTTTCCTATTTCTTAATCTATTTTTTTAATCTAGTTTCCTGTCCAGCGTTTTTTTTTTTTTTGTTGTTTTTTTTAAAGAATTATTGTGTTGGTGTATAATTATCAGGCGTTTTTGTAGACGATTTATTTGTTAATAAAAATTGCTGTTTTATTTACTTTAATAAAAATATTATTTTATTTTTACGTTATAAAAATGTGTGTCGATAATCCTAATCACTTAAAAATGTTATTGTTAAATTGTTATGTTTATTTTTCATAATAAATATTGTTTAAAAACGCCTGATAATTATGCACCAACCCAATATTTAGCTATCTCGCTGTGTTCGTATCTAGCTTGCTATCTCGGCCTTTACCTTGAGTGTCTTGCAACGTAAGTTTTTATCTATCTATTGTGTTGGTGTATAATTATCAAGCTTTTTTGTAGCCGAGTTATTTGTTAATAAAAATTGCTGTTTTGTTTACTTTAAATATTATTTTGTTTTCAGGTTATAAAAATGCGTGTCAATAGTCATACTCATTTAAAAATTTTATTGTTGAATTGTTACGTTTCTTTTGTTCATAATAAATATTGTTTAAAAACGTCTGATAATTATGCACCAACCCAATCTCATTTTTTGCTGACTAGTTTAATTTTATTATTATACCATATAATGGTTGCAGTCAAAAGAATGTTAAAATTAAAACAAGAAAATAATTGTCGTTGTCTATAGTCTAATGCAGTAGTTCTTAACTATGGACGCTAGGGCTGTGATATTGATTCTCTAGGGATGCAAGGATACTGAATCGTTAATGTTGTTTTTTAAAGGAAGCTCTTGTGTAGTTTTTGGCGATATGAGATAAAAGTTTTCATTGTGGAAATTTTACCAATTGCAACAATCATAATAGCGTAAATGGATACTTAAGGAAAAAAAAAAACAATCGTAGAATCCAAATACAGTTTCCCGATGGTCGCCTGGAGTAATTCTGGGCTTCACAGTTTAAAACGTATCCGGTACTGAGTAAAAAAAAAAACACCAAAAAACAAGGTCTGGCTGTGGTGGTGCCTTTTTGTGACTGTATACATGTGAGAAACTGAACATTTCTGTCTGCTTCACATCAAAACCAAAACCGGAAATCGCCTGGATCCTCAAACACGACATGGGAGTTGCACTCAACACCAAGACACCAAGTTTTCATGACATCATAACCAGTAAACTACAGCAACAAGGTCACTGAGTTTGTTGTTCAGCCATAATTATTACCAACAAACCATGCATAGTACAAGTATATGTTGACGTAATTTTATGACTTTGCTAATATGAAAGTGTTATAACCTAGCCAAGAACATTGAACATATCTCACGGGGCCGTTCCTACATTGCTTGATTGTTATAACGTTTTCTTATAGGATTAGAAAGTTAACTTATTATTTTAAAATTGTTAATATATATATATATATATATATATATATATATTGGTAAACTGATTCAGGAGGCTTTTGAGTGAGTTTGATGAATAGACTTTAGCTTAACAAAGGGGCAAGTAGTTTCGGATCTGTCTTCGAACGTTCGATCTTATTAAGAGGATGTGAGAGCTTCTCTCTCTCCTTCTCTCTCTCTTTCTCTCTCTCTTTCCACCTCCCCTCTCGCCCTCTCTCCCCTCTCTTTCCCTCTCCCCTATCTCTCTCCTCTCTCCTCCTATCTTTGTCTCTCTCCCTCTCCCCCCTCTCCTCTCTCCCCCCCTCTCTCTCTCTCTGTATTTGTCTCTCCCCTCATATCCCCCTCTCTCCTACTCTCTCCTCTCTCTCTCTTTGTCTCTCTCCCCTATCTCTCTCTCTCTCCCTCTCCACCCCTCTCTCCTCTCTCTCTGTCTCTCTCTCCCTATCTTCCCATCTCTCTCCCCTCTCTCTCTCTCTCTCTTTTTCTCTCTATCCCCATCTCCCTCTCTCCCCCTCTCTCCTTTCTCTCTGTCTTTGTCTCTCTCTCCTCTCTCTCTCCACTCTCTCCTATCTCTCTGTCTTTGTCTCTCTCTCCCCCTCCCCTCTCTCTGTTTTTGTCTCTCCTCTTTGTCTCTCTCTTTTATATAACTTGTCTCGGATTTTTATATCAGCTGAGTTCACTTGGGTTTTTTTTGAAGCACCCACCGAATTACTAATGTTACACAAACCGGCCGGAAGGGGAGCTAAATCTAAAGCATAATGGGACATCAGTGTTGACCACCAGAGGTTCTTACAGGGATACCTATCCATTCGTGATAGAGCCCTGCAAATACCCCGATATTGACCGTTAACCAGATAAACTTTTTTACGCGTTACCAAAGTGTTTGGGCCCCATACTAACAGTCTGGATACAGCAACTGGAAAAAATAAAGGAACCTAAACTACCTCAAATTAATCAAGAAACAAGGGATAAACCTCTACTCCTGTTCAATAAACGTGGAAGGTGTGTGGACTAGGCGATAGGTGAACCTATCTATTCTTATTAACTTATTTACAGCACAGGACGCTGAGCGCTTTTATCGATACACAATCTCAAGGAGGATAGCCGAAGAAGACTCAAATCCCCTCCAAGACTATACCATTCCATTTCAAATATTTCCTTTCCTAAAAGAAATGCTACTTTCCAATTTTTTTAAAAAAAAATGAAAAGATAAAGGGTTAACTTTAAATATTTAAGATAAATAAAATAAACTAATAGATAAATAATTAAACAAAATTAAATAGATAGAAATGAACAGTAATTACATTTAAAAATTTACATCAACATTTACACAAAACGTCCGTTTCCTTACACAGCAATTTGCACGATTTTTACATTTTATGATGTAGACACACGCCAAGCGTCAGGGGAGGTAATTTTATTTTTTTTAATATTTATACATTTCAATAACTTCGTTACCTCCCTTGATGTTTGTCGCGTGTTTTCATCATAAAATTTAAAAAATGTACAGAACATAACCTTAGATATTTTTCACTTCACAAGTAAAAATTTAATTGTCAGATAAACACAGTTTTTTTTTTTTTTTTTTTTTTTTTTTATAGAAAAATGATGAACCCAACAAATTTGTGTCTTAGAAAAAACAAGAATCTGATGTCGACATTGTGCCAATGTTGAAAGTACGAGGAATAAAATGAATAGGCATCAACACGGTAACTTTCTTCCTTCCTTTAATAAGGATACTAAGAAACTTGTCCGTAATACGAGAGAATCCTATTAAAAATAAGTAGACAAAGCTTGTCTAAATTATTTAATGAGACATGAATTTTATATATATATATATATATATATATATATATATATATATATATATATATACACACACACAGGTAAACATCAGTTGGTATATAATCCAAGTGAATCCCAATGACATAAAATATGAAAATTGATCCACAAAAGAGAGTTCAATGTATTTATTAAAACACAGCATATATAAATTACATATACAGGAATTTAAAATTACTCCACTGTGACAATGGAGTAATTTTAAATTCCTGTATATATATATATATATATATATATATATATATATATATATATATATATAACTGCGAACACAAAAAACATGATAAACCAAGAAGCTAAAGATATAGCCGTCAAATTCAAAATAGATGAAAGGAAAAACCGCATAGCCGAGCAACAGGCTTTCATGGCAGCAAAAGACCACAAAACCAGCTTCGTGAAAAAAAACACATTTCGCCTAATCAACCCTGCGAAAAGCGAAATAGGAAAAATCAGCAAAAACATATCAGAATCTATCAATACCAACCTTAGGGAAAAATTAGGTCTTAACCAATGGGAAAACACTTAAGCTGTCATAGACTGGTTTACAACAATAAAAAAAACAAAAACGAAGCTAGGTTCATCCAATCTGACATAGTGAATTTCTACCTATCCATCACGGAAAATATATTGAATGACGCTATACAACTAGCACCACAACATGTTAAAATTACGGACGAAGATATTAAAATAATCAACCACTGCCGTAAATCTCAGTTGTTTCACAATAATGAACCATAAGCCAAAAAATAAAATCACGACCTATTTGATGATACAAAGGGTAGCTACGATGGATATTGTGACTTAGTAGGCATACTCATCCTCTCATACCTAGCCAGGATCCTAGATAAAAAAGACACAGGACTATATAGAGATGACTGACTTATCTTGATAAGAGAACCCAATGGCCCCAAATTGGACAGATTTGGGGAAAAATAGTAAACGCCCTAAAAACCATTGGATTTAAAATAGAAATAAATGCAGATACAAGAACAGTAAACTTCCTAGACGTCACTCTCAACATGAACAATAAACTACATTCGAACCGTACAAAAAAGATAATGATACCCCGACTTACGTACACACATCCTCCAACCATCCACCTTCAATCATCAAACAAATACCCATATCAATCAGCCGCAGACTATCTGAAAACTCATCTAAACTAGACATTTTCAATAGCAAAAAACACTATACAATGAAGCACTAAAAGAAAGTGGATATACACAACAACCACAATACACACCTCCACAACCGAAATGCAAATACAGAAAAAGAAATATTATCTGGTTTAACTCACCATACAACAAAACCACCAAAACTAATATAGGAAAAACAACCCTAAACTTTATAGAAAAGCATTTCCCTGAAACAAACCAATTAGCAAAAATATTCAACAAAAATAACGTCAAAATCAATTACAGCTGCACAAAAAATATAACACAAATAATAAAAATGCCACAACAAAAAAAATAACAATCTAAAACAATGCAACCAAGGAACCTCAATGCAACTGCAGAAATAAAACACCATGTCCACTCCAAGGAAATTGCCAACAAACAAATATAATATATAAAGCCAAGGTAAGTGCAAACAACAACACAATGTACTACATCGGAGCCACTGAGGGACCATTCAAGAAGAGAAAAAACAACCACGACCTTTCATTCTCCAACAGAAAATATTCAAACAGCATTACACTATACACATACATATGGCATCTAAAAGATAGAAATATTACACCAAGAATAAGCTAGAAAATATTGAAAAATCATCTGCCTACAACAACATTACAAAGAAATGCCTACTTTGCCTACACGAAAAGGTAGAAATTTCTCATACCAAACAAAGAATTTAATAAACATAAAATCAGAAATAATTTCCAAATGCAGGCATGAAAATAAATACCTATTATCAGAATTTATGCCAAACTAGATAAACCACCACTGACTCTATAAACATGTAAAGAGAAACCACTGACACCATAACAATATCAATTATTTTCTAGTTCAAACTACCATCATTATAATTACAATTGTTTTTATTATCATTCCACCACCATTACTACGATCACTTCTACCACTTTACAATAACTATTTGCCGCTATAATTGTTATCATCACCCTCTCTCCCCACCATTTCTACCACATCACAATTACCATTGCTGTATTAGTCTACAATTACCATTACAGTATCAGTCCACAATTATACTTACTTCTCCCTCCCCCAGGAAAATTTATACCACCGCATAATTACTAATAAGTATTACAAATTGGAATTTCTGCCATTTCCATATACGCAATCGCCAAAAATAAGCAAATAACCGGCTTTAAAATAATAACAAAACAGCCTTAAAAAAATAAAAATAATAGCAATTTTCAACTATCATAATCTTACACGGACCCTGTCATACGTATATACGTGCGTGCGAGAAAACACTATTCAACGAACAACAATAGAAAAAAGGTCCGCTCGTTGACAACGCAACAAACAAGAAATATTCGCTCACAATCCAACATTGAATACAGCGACCAAATGCGTACGTATGCGTGCAACAACACATATATGTGTATATGTGCCCAGTCCCACACTGTTCACATATGTTTGTGTGTGTGTGTTTGTGTGTGTGTGTGTGTGTCTGCGTACGTCAATGAATGTACTTGCGTGTATGTATGTTTGCGTAAGTATGAGTGGCGTCCCGACGACACCTTTTCCTTCCACTTCCATAAAATCACCGATATACGCAACCATATATAAATCCAAAAATTTAAAAATTAATCAGTTTGTCTGACGATCGCAAATAGCGTGAAACCCAGGGTTACAAACTCACACTAATCCAACTATATATATATATATATATATATATATATATATATATATATATATATATATATATATAATTAGGAGGATTTGAAATAATCATAATTAAGTAATTCATCAAGCCTAGAAAAAAAACTCAACAGAATGCACTGGATGGCTGTTTCGTTCTATAGTTTGGGCTCATCAGCAGTGCGCATCCACTATCAGAATTGAAATCCGAACAGCTACGGTAGGAAGTAAACGCCATACCAACCGTATCAACCGGCCTCGGGGTCAAAGGGGTAGCGAATTAGACTCGATATAGCGCCGCTCGATCACATATTCCGAGTTTCCCTTTAACCCTAGGACTGTGCCTCCACAAGATACGACTACTATCCTCAAACCGCTCAGTCTGGAGCATTAGAAACCGGTTCAAGCAAGGACACACACACATATATATATATATATATATATATATATATGATCGAATCGTCGCCGTTTTTGTCTATCAGTAGCATGATTGTGCTTGTGTCTTCCATGACATTTAAGGTCAACTTGAGACCTACATAACAATCCACGTATAGTATATCAATAACTGCATCTACTGCAAGGAAAGTTGGGTTTCTGTCTCGTGTCAGAATGTTCTCGCCGTCAGAAACCATCTTGCACGTTCAAAACATATCATTCGTCTTTGCATTGCATACCGTTGCTACACCTGCTCTGGTGCTCCGTCAGTACATCTCAAGATCCTTCACAATATGCAATTAAGGATCTGTAACGTAATCGATCATGACCAGGCATTTCGACTTCAGTCACTTTCTCACCGACATGACGTGGCTTCCTTCCGTATTTTCTACAGATATTTTCGTAACAACTTCTCTGGCGTGTTTCTTTCCCTGGTGCGTCGACTATAAGCGTGCCACTAGATTTGTATCTAGGTCCCACTCTTTCACTCTAGAAATAGCTAAATGCAAAAGCCACTTTTACTCGAATAGTTTTTTTTTTTTCCTCACACTTCCCACCTGTGGATCTCCCTTCTGATTACTTTCTTCCCTGATAACTACAAACTTCAGAAATTTAAATGCAACGTCAATCGCCATTTTTTTTCGTGAATCCCGTTCATCTATTCTCCTTTCGTCACACCTCCCCCCCCATTTCAAATAATTTCTAATCCTTTTTCACTTTAGCTCCATGTAAACCCACTGCATTTTGGTGACATTTCCTTTTTGTTTGGATTTAAATGATTAAAAAAAAAGGACCATCACCTGTTTTTGCCTTGTGATTCGTAGATATTAAATGCGTGACATTTTAAAACATATACTGGCTTTTGTGCATACTCTACACCATATGATACGACCAAAAGTCTCAGATGACGACTGAGGAATATCAATAGAATTTGGGTTTTGATTAAGTTTATCCTTGTACCCGGGTGAGGATTTCCGGTGTTCCTTCGTCACGCCTGCGCACAACGTGACCACCCTGGTGTAGTTACGTCCGCATTAGAAATATCTCCCATTTCTCTCTTTGAAAACCGATTAATATTGTATATTTCGTTTTCCAGAATAATAGCCACATATTGTACAAAGGCGCCGTTTATGGCAGACATCGAGTTGATGGATATGGTTCCGGCAGGCCGCCCAGGATTCGAATCCACAGAGATCAGTTGTAATTACTAGTGTTCTGTGTACATTAATTTTGGTTTTCAAGGAATCTTTACTGACATTACAGAGCCGATGATAAAGCTTCGGAAATGCGATAAATGGTATCATCGTCAGGAGAGACTAAATTATTCATTCGGCTTCCGCAATACTTAAATGTGCTTGAATATTTAAGTTCTTTATAATCCACAGTAATTGGCATACATCTTAGTGTGTATGCTGAAGGCGGCTTGCCGGACGCTATGCATCACTTCAGTCCTCTTGATACGAATTGTTAAGCCAGATGCCTTACACGCAGTCGAAAATCTACTAGTAAGCTCTTGAATGTCACGAAGCGACGTTTCAACCAGAGCGGCGCATCATCAGCAATTGGGAGATTATAAAGCCTGTAGTCATTTGTTAATGTCATAGCTTTGAATCACTGATAATTAAACAGTCAAGCGGTATTTTGAAATTGGAAATTAAAAACAGTGTTAGTGTAGAAGAAGGCGAACGTTAAAAGAAAGAGAAGAAAAATAGCTCATGAGAGTTTAACACCAAGATGGCCGAGGTATCGTTTTCGACACATTCAAATTTTCAACAAATTCCTATGGAATAACTAGTTTTGGTTCGATGCTGAGGCTTATGGACAATTATTGAATTTTAGCAAAGATGCTTAACAGACTTAATTCTTTAAAAAATATTCAGTGGAATAGCTGATATTTGAGCTTTTACCTGGAATGGCCGAGGTGTCGTTTTTGACACCTAGGTTATTTATAGGGTTAATGCATTGAAAAATTTCTCACAAGAAATAATACTTGTGTTTATGTCCCCTATCTATCTATTTATCTATCTATCTATATACACACACACATAATTTACATATATATATATATAATCACTTTCTTTCAGTATGAGGTATACTAATATTTGTGAATTTCTTTTCAGACTTGTTATTCCTGACTTGAATATTGAATATATTAGAGATGGCTGCTTCACGGCGTAATGTAAATAAAGATGGCAAAGGACCTGGCCATCCCTGTGTTAACCATGCAAATTGAAAGACTTTAAGGATTTATTTGCTTTCATCTGGAATATTTCCCCGAATGAAAGCGCCGAATCAATTCGTTGAAACACTAGAAAGCTTTCGACAAAGAGGATGGTATCCAGGAACAGAAAATTTAGTGGCAGAGATAAAAAAATAAGAAAAAAAGAAAATAGTTCAAAATTCGTTATTTAAGAGTAAGTGTCGTTGCCGACACTGTGGTTCGGAACTAGATCGCCGGTGAGCAACATGGACGATTCCATTATTAAGTAGATCACGTGATTATAAAGGAAGTGAATAAATACGAAGTAGCGTAATGATCACGGCTCACCATTTCTCCTCTATAGGGTATTTATGCTCATTGGCCCCCTTTTATTTCTGTCCTCATTTTTTTCTTTGGTTTACTTCCCCATTCCCTCCTTCGTTAACCCAAGTTTTCTCTTTATCTTTAAGGAAATTGCACAACATTCATTGCCATAAATGAGAACTGATATTAGAACCCCATCTCCGTAATGATGCCTACGTCTTTTCTGTGAATACTTTCACGGTAATTGTTTGGATAAGCTTTTCGCCACGGCTAGAGGATGTAGGCCCATCGGAGCCTTTTATTTCTGTTACCCATTTTTCATTGCTTTAATTCCCCACCCTCTCCCTCGTTAGGTGGTCAGTGATGTCAGTTCTCTGGTGGATGCGGGACGCCTTTCGTTTCGGGTGTGATTTTCGGATTTGATGTTGTGTCTGAATGAGTGTGTGTTTGTGTGAGTGCTTGGGATGAATGAATGTTTTATACTATTATAGTCCCGCATTGATTTCGTCCAGTTAACTGATGTTTATGCCACATTTAGGGATTACTATTACTAATATTATCTTGTTTAGTTTCTTATTTGTATTCATATTGTAAATATTCATTGGGACTAGTTTTTAAAATGTTCTTTTATTCCCCTCCCTCCACCACAGACAATGAATTGTATATATTGGGACTAGTTAGGATTTTCATAGAGACAATGAGGTATTGGATGTCGTAAGAAAGGTAAGTTAGAATGTCTTGTTTTTGGTGTTAGGGATATTGCTGTATGTCTGGATCGGTGTTTGTAACAAGCTAAGTTTAAAGTTAAGACAGATGAAGACCGCCCCCCCATTCCCCATTTTGGCGTTGTGCCACATTTTGTAAATATATTACAAATAGTTATTACTATTTCTCTTTTATTGCGATAGATATGCAGGGGGATTCTGAAGTCGTCTGGTGGCAATAGTAGTAGCTGATGACGATTTTAATGAATTAATTTAGTCTTCAGTACTTCAAGATATTTTTGTGAAATTTTGGTAAATATATCTGTCAAAATGAAATGTCAAAGTTAATTTCATTTTTGCATAATTTAGATGACAATTTATCCATCGCATCTTCGAGCAGATATGAGCGTTCGAGAGAAATCATGAGAAATTTGTAGTTTAAACGCAGTAATTCGACCTTGCTAAACAGACTCTTCCTCTTTAGATAAATGGTATAGCACGTCATGCTATATGACGTTGCCGTAGAGGATACAGGTTCGATTCCTGTCGGAGGACACATATTTTGTATGAAATTTCTCCGACATTCAGGCCGGTAAATGTTGTTAATACTGTTTATTATAAAACAGAGCATTTACTTAAATATTTGTATCTATAAAAAGAACGTACAAACAATATATATACATATATATATAGATAGATAATAGTGGTCAATATACATATATATATATGTGTGTGTATATATATATAATTAAGTACATACATATATATATATTATAATTATTTTTTTAAATATATGATTACTTTTAAAAAACAAATTTAATTTAGGCTCTATTTCTGTATGAAGTACTGTTTTTTTAAAGATAAAAACACAAATACTAAAGAAGTCCGGATAAATTTACCTAACGTGTTCTTTCCTATTTCTCTACATACCTGCACGCACACAAACAAACACACACAAACACACACACATATATCTATATATATATATATATATATATATATATATATATATATATATATATAAATTTCAAGTGGATAGAATCAAGTAGAACTCAATGTCCAGGAGAGAATAATAATATATATATATGTGTGTGTGTGTATGATATATATATATATATATATATATATATATGTGTGTGTGTGTGATATATATATATATATGTGTGTGTGTGTGTGTGTGTATGATAATATATATATATATGTGTGTGTGTGTGTGTGTGTATGATAATATATATATATATATATATGTGTGTGTGTGTGTGTATGATAATATATATATATGTGTGTGTGTGTGTGATAATATATATATATATATATATGTGTGTGTGTGTATGATAATATATATATATATATATATATATATATATATATATATATATATATATGTGTA